GGACACGTTCCTCTCTTCGACACAGGCCTACTGGAGACCCCCGGACAGAACTCTCCGGACACGTTCGTCTCCTCGGCATCAGCCTACTGGAGAGCCACGGACAGAACTCTCCGGACACGTTCGTCTCTTCGGCACCCGCCCACTGGGGAGCCCCGGACAGAACTCTCCGGACACGTTCAGCTGTCCCTCCGGCACCGTCCTTCCCGGTCGCACTGTCACGGCCATAGGTTGCCATCTCAGTGATACACGGTGGCTTGAGGAATGTGGATCTTTCAGCTCAATGAGCATTTCATTTCTGAGACTTCCGAGGGGAAGGCAATAAGTATGATGTTACAAAACACGTTTTGTGAAGCCAAAGACCGCTGATCGGGTACTGACAACATACCAGTGTTTATTCGTACCTCCGGGTTTGCACTTTGGCCGGATTCGACTTCCATATTCTAGACAACATACCATAGATGAAAAAGTTAACGTCCGATTTCATAGCAAGAAACTATTTTGCGCCAATGCGCCAAATTCTTGGTCAACGTCTGTCATTTACATCTGCTTAAATAAAGGGCAACCATTTTCCACCTTAACCTGTCCTGAAGCCACCACCCTGTTCAATAAAATATGAATCATCTTTTCCCCAAACAACATCATCGACTTTTCTAAGCCATCGCAGTTAGTCAAGTTTGACCAAAGATTTAACTCCATATCTTTTGGCCTGTGCGTCTGGTAACTAATTTGCAACTATGAGGCCATACAAATGCTGGAAGCATTACCTTTCTAGGTGGTGATTGTTGGCCTTCATAAAGGTGTGACTGAGCTAGATCTGACTACATCCGAGTGTGACCATACTTCCTCTGGCTTTGTCTGCTGACCTAAATGGACATTAAATGGCCAGACTTACAGCTTTTTGAATAGGTATTCCAGAAAGCATCACCACCATTTTCCATCCTGAGATAACTTTGTACTGCAATCATTAATGAGAGTGCGGATAGTGTGGGGTGGGCTGTGCTTTCCTACAGGACTGACTACTTCTACAGTACCGGGGCATCCGGTAATGTTATGTGTCACTTGCCATCACACCTCAGACAAACATACCAAATGCATGGCATGACTCAAAAACAGGGTTGCATGCAATTCAATACTTTGTAATGCTGTCAGCATTCTATGAAAGGATGGTTTGCTGTAGTAAAACTGCCTGCTGGTGTGTAATTGTGAGTCACACACAGGCTTGAATGCATCCAATGTTGCTATAATCAGGCATTATAAAGGCACCTCACTTATCCATCTGGAAACATCACTTACCTCTCTTGTGAATGGAAGATTCTATGATGTGGATCAAATGACCAGTAAGAAAAATCATAGGTGAACTCCTTGACATCATCACACTGGGTGGTGTCCACCGTTCACCTTGCTGAAATGACACATGACAACATTAATGAAAATTGCATGGATAATACATGGAAACAGAACAATATGCAAGCTAAGATGGATTGACCACTGCTGCTGATTGGTGACATTCATTCACTCAGACAAGCTTATCTCTGTGCATCCTCAGCTCCCCAGCTGTCAAAACATGCTAATGGGGGCCCCCAAGACTCATTGGTTGGGAGGTCATAAAAGATATGTGACTGGGATCAGTGTAAAAAGCTACTGGAGATCAGACCCATGGGTATCTGCATCACCAGCCTGACTCAATGGTTGCTACTTCATTGCATGCAAAGAAGGTGGCTGCTAATGTTGTAACATTGTTGTGGTCATTGAGAATGCAGCAGGGGGAAAAACATGCTAGTGCAATCATAATTGAACACAAGGGCTATTATGGAATTATGGACATGTACTCATCGCTGAGACAAAAATATATACCTTTGGATTTGTGATCATGGTCTTCTTTCCCTCCATGGAGATACATAACATGAGCATTCAGGTCAATTTCCCTGAAAACACACATCACCACAATGAGACTGCACATGCCAGTCATTGACTTGGCAGACAGAATGATGTGATTATGGAAATACAAAAAAAAAAATTTTTCTTCCAAAATCATCAAACAATTGGGGGGGAAATACCTTTGCTTCTAGGGGTTGATTATGTACACAGCCTTGCATAAAATATACATTAAAAGTTAACATGCTTGGTACTGTCTAAAGTCATGTCAAGCATTTGAGAATGGTGTGGATGTGTAGGCATGCAGATGATGCCTTATTTATCTCTTGAAGTTACTCAGTCACTTAAGCAATTCTGGCTTTGCTTGCTTAGCTTAACTTTGTTAAAATCATCATTAAAATTAACATCAACCCCCACGTGCGACAGCTATTACATACCTTTGATTGAAAGGCCGTACCCGCACTGCAACCCTCACAGAATCCATATCTGCCTGCAACAATGAAACAGTGAATTATACTAAACATGACTGAACAACACTTCTTCAATGATGAAGAAACCACATGCTGCAAGTGCAGCAATTTGTCATCCATGCATATAAATATTGTGCTGCTTACCCCATTCCTGCCCTGATTGCAATGCAAAAAAATATGTTGAGCTGAACAAAATGTCCAAATGACATGTCTGATGTAGTGGCAAAATCCAATCTGCACAGTATGGCCATGTGTTTCATAACTCCCCCTGCAACCCAAGCTCTCAGCTGCTCAGTATGGCACATGGACTGTACCCATTTCAGCACATAGTCAATCTTTCTGAGAATTATGATGCTTTGAGGGCAATTTCCAGATAAAAGTGCTTAGAAACATTCTGTTAGAGGGTGGCTAAAATGTCTGCTTACTGGAATCCTAACTAATATGTTACTTAGTTGGCTTGCCCAATTAGGTTATCCACTTGCATGCCAGCCATGCAAAGGCATGTTGGCTGAATGATCTGTGATGGTGACTCACTGCCCAGAATAATGGAATTATCTGAGTGTCAGTTCCATCAATAACTGGAAAACTCTACACCAAGCCATTTATCTGTCATATAAGCCAGACTAGGCCATCGCTGTGGCAACCATCAATCCCACGTAATCATTGTGTGCACATCTAGCAATTGCACTGAAGTCAGTGAGGAATTATGATTTCTAAGGCTTGGGAAGCTAATATGCCTGAAAGCATTTTCATAAAAATGCTTCTTACACCCTGATACAGCCCAGTTTGCAAGATAAAATGTATCCACTATGCCATATATCCAAATGACATCAATGTCCTGAGTGCTATTGACCAATAGTTATCCTGGTATCAATGTTCTGGGCATCATGCAGGTGTGTGCCAGTAAGATTCCTGACTAAATCAAGGAGAACTTCAGAGATACTATGTTTGGGGACAACATCTTAGTTTACTTCAGGCAAAATTTGCTATAGATTACCAGAAATATGCTAACCCCTTGAAATGTCTGCTCACCATGCAGTTTAACTAGCAATATTGGATCATCTCTTGTGGGCTACTCACATTTGAAGCCTGCATGCAAGACAATTTTAGGTCTACCCTTAACCCCAATCCTGACATGTCTGATATAACAACTGTTTGCAGTCTGGCATCTGACCTTTCAAATCTTCACAATCATGCCAAATTGCAAAATCATGTCATGTTGCAGCAATCATGGTGATCACGTTTTTGCACTTAATACATGTTTAATGCACTGGGACCTCCAATGTGCTGTCCTTACGTGCCAGTCCGGTCAGGCGTGTACCCACCCACCTACCTACCTGTTAAATGACTATCTTGCTGATAGTTGTAATTCCTGCAAGATTTTAGAGTGAAAACATGAAAAAAGTGTCATCA